ATTTTCTATCTACAATTTTCGGCCACACAAAATTGTTTATCATGCCTCCGTAGCGCTCACGGTTGTCCTAAAGGGCGTTTTCTGCAGCATTTTTAAGGAAAAATAAGCCAATGATGCAAAATCCGCGCCATACGCAGATGTGGCATATTTGCTTGTGCATGTGAAAAGATGGATACTGCCTTTCGAAATGTTTTCAAACTAGGGTTTTCTTAAAACTCTTTCGTTTAAGGCTCATATTTGTTTACAAGTTAAATAAATTGGACTTAATTTAAATTTTAAAACTTATTAGGTTACTTTTAAATATGTACGTACAATATATATCTATAGTAAAGTATAAACATTTCATGAATATCCTCTAAATTTGTACTTAGAAACATACTGTTTGGTGCCGGCATCTCTTTCGGCATCAGAACAAATTTAGGAAGGTGCCCTGAACTCTGTCTTGGAAAATTTTGACCCACCTTAATGTACATACAGGATAGACTGGTTGAAGTGGCGAGCATAACAACAAGTAAACGGCAGCATATGGTAGCATCTCTTAAATCCAGTTGAGTTAAAGAGTTTCAATGGTTTCACATATTAGTCTGCGGGCTAGGCAAGGCCAATAAAATCCATTTGGTGTGTGTGCCCCGAATGGAATTCGTGCTTCTCGCGAAGTAGGTGGATGACAGGAAAAATACCCCTGAAATACCCAGCAACCCTGACAGTTTGGAACAAAACTGTACATCATGGCAATGGCACAACGCTTGGCAGATACTACGTATGGTACACACACGTGCGGAAATCCAACCGAATTTTCGGCATGGTCACGGATTCTGGAATCCCAAACCTTTACCAAAGTCGCCAGTGTCATAGACCGAAAGCGCATCCTCGGGGAGAGAGGGGAGGTAACGCCAACCCCCACTTCTTCAGAAACGGAAGAGGACCAATATCTTCCAGGCGGCGTTGGTCGAGAAGCAGCTAACCGCGACCGACCTTCCTATAATGAAGTTGGTCCTCTTTCACAAACCCAGAAGAGGAAGCGAAGGAGGAAGAATCGTGGGCGAAACACAAACAGGGAAACCCTCTTGTGCGGCGGCCCAAGTCTACGGAAGTTACTCCGGAAGCCAGAGGGACCTTGGCGGATGCAAGAGAAGGAAAACTGCTGCGATACCCCCCCAATGCCTACCAGAATGCCTCTTCGAGTCATAGTGTGGCGGGTACTGGACTGCCATTGTTCGTTTCCGACCTTGACTGACAGACCTCTGGCACCACGATACCCTCCCTAAAACCCAGGGGTGATGTGATGCAAGGGTTGGTCGATGTGGAACTGCCCTCGAAGCATCAAAATCTGCCAACTACGTCAAGAGGTCTTGGTGCTCGGCCTACTTATTGTTAAGCCGCGAAAGGCCCTCCGGTCGTTGCGCTAATTGAGAGGTCGGGTTCGCCTGGGCAGATGACTACTGGAGGAAAATTAAGCACTGCAAGAGCCATCTGATGCGGATCGCCATTGCCTCCGGCACTGCAGCCAATGCTCATGGGTATGATGAGATATATGGAGCCATTGGGGTGAATTGCCTCTCCCAAGCTCATTGGAACTGGCTCAAGGCTGTGGTGCAAAGAATGCCGCGCATAGGGGAACAGGTCTCCCTCTCAGCAAAGCGTTCTTCTGGATTCCAGAACCCGATCTGAAAACGGCGAACGTGCTCTCCTGCTTACGTGTCCTACATCCGGTAGCAACCGGGAAGGTAGAGTAGGTGCTACTCTGGTTGTGAAGATATACCAGATACCCTTGGATCATGTTATGGAAATCGTTGAGTCTCTTTTTCGGAAAAATTTATTTCATAATTGTTTAACATATTACTGTTAAACTGCAAAATAAACGTTTGCCTAGAAACGTACTTCTGATATTTTCCAGTACTGGGGAATTGCACAGGAATCGCTCTACCGTTTCTTTTGCATAGTTTAATCTGAAAAGCTACTGCTAACACAAAAAAGCGTTGTGTTTTAGTCACAATATTGCAACCATGTGTGTGAGTGTTTTGTGGAAACGGCAGAAAGCGGTAGCTAAAATCATTATATTTCCACTCATTTTTGATGGAAATATGCTGATATCTTTCTTGAATGCATACATCCAGACTTATATAACTGCACTCGTACTTATGCATGAGCTCTTTACACCTTAAAGGTTTAGCTAAGAAAAGAGTTTTTTTTGGTGAAGTGGGACATATAACGCCGCTGCAAAAGGGCCCCATACATACCGAAACTGGTTTGCCTCCGAACAAAATTTGGCGGTGAGCCGTTTCAAAATACATGCAACATGGAGTTACTACGTTTGCGAAACTATTAAGGACTTCAAAGTATAAACTTACTTACATATTTACTTCCTTCATTATATAATAATAATAATAGATTAGCGCTTACAAACTAAATTAGTGTTTGCCCGAGCTTCTAATGGCGATTTGTGATGTGCGCCTTTAGGTTGTCACACAAAGGTTAGGGACCTACAATTTCACGCCTACGACTACGATCGACGATGGTATTTTTATGAGAAGCTGTTCTTTCATTGCAGAATACACTCGCAGGTTTTCCATTGCCTGCCGAGTGGCGACCGCTAAGAGGAAATACTTTTTTATGTTTTTATTTTTTGATGTTGACCGGAAACTTGGCTCGAGCCCAGGCCCCGCGGAATGGTAGCGCACACTACTAACCACTGCACCACAGCGGCCACTGCAATTTAGTTAAAAATAAAACATAAGTTTGTAGCTTTGATCTAACTGATAATTACTTGCTTGACTTGGAAGTTGTAGTAATTTTGATATAAAAAACTTTGGTTTTAGGCACGTCTTCTAATTTCTAGAGGCAACTTGCTGTTATATGTCTTTTAAAAATATAGAATGGTTTCGATTTATTGATTTTTTTCCCCAAACATAAGCATCACATGTCAATGTACTACAATGTATGTACGTATTTGTGTTTACTTGCTTATGTAAATGTATATATTTGTTGTGCATAACAAATGCTGACGCACTAAATACTAGATAAAATATACTAAAAATTTGGCAGATAAATTCTGTCATTAGTTTTCAGCAAAGACATTTGTGCATACATACATTTGACATGTACTAATGGAGAGTTCGCCACTCAATGAGACAACGAACAATTATAAAATATCTACATGTACATACTGTGCTCACGTGCTCGCATTTCGTCATCGATGGGTTAACATTGTTGGCATGCTAGCCGGCTAGGTAAACTAATAGCCTACGACCGGAGATGTCTTTGTTACAGTCACAGTCAAATAGTCAGCAGAAGCAGCTCTTATATGTACATATTTACTTCACAGCTGCGCGGCTTCAGCCATCATTGACGCCGACTCAACTATTCTATCTTAAAGCTCAATTAGTCTACACTTAATTTACGTAACTTAACATAATCGTGTATTGTGGCAAGCTTGCTATGTGAAAGTGTGTTGTGTACTCGTCAGATAAAACCGTAAAAAACTTAAAAACCTATAGATTTTGTAGTCTTAAACAACGGCCTTGCATAAATTGAGAGCGGCGAGAGAGTCAGGCTTGCCAGATTTTCGTTTTTGTAGCTTTTAGAAGTTAATGTATGTAAGCAACCATTTATTTTCGTGACCGCCGCAGTCGAGTAGTTAGAGGAGCGCTCTATCACTCGGGAGGTCCGGGGTTGGATGCCTAGTCAGAGCAAATTAATTTAAAAAATAAATTTTCTAGTAGCAACGGCCCCTGGCCAAGCAATGGCCAACCACCAAGTGGTGTATTTCTGCCGTGAAAAATGCTTCACATTGAAATCATTTGCCGCTCGGAGGCGGCCTAAAATGGTAGGTCCCTCCCCTTTGTCTGACAACATCAAGGCGCACACTACAAATCGTAGGAGAAGCTCGGCCAAGCAGTAGCAAATGTGTAACCACCAAATATTTATTTATATTTTTGAAAATTCTTTTTTCGCGTAACATTTTAGGCGGCGAACAGTCAAACAGCTGAAAAAATCATACAAAAATAAACTATTTTACATCTGGCTTAAATTTTGTGGAGTAATCATTTCTAACGCAAAGTTAAGTTAAACTAAGACTAGGCTAACTGAGCTATCAGCATACTTGACTGCATTCATATGTATGTATTTATTGCCCAGTCATTTCATGCGTCAACAGCGCTGCCTCATTTATCAGCCGAGCCCATAAATCACCGAAAAGGCGAGAAAGCACCCGCAACAAGTTCATAACGCCGATACTCGCTTATTATTACGGTTGGATCGATCCGTTCGCTGCGACGTGTTGTCTGTTGTTTGAGTCGTGCATTGCCGGACGGACGTGTTTTTAATGTTATTCCGCGTACTATTGACGGTTGTGTTTCGATAATAGTAAATATATGATACATACATACATCCATAGAAACGGGGGTGTTTTACCGTTTTTGAATAGTCTGCCGTTGTTGTCAGTGTGTTGGTTTGCTTTCTTTTTTGCGTGCGTTATTTTTCACCTGTTTGGCAGTTAAACTGTTGTTTTGTTTCCTTTGTGACGTCGCGTGACAGTATCCTTACTCCGCGAATATTCGAACAAGCGTACATGCACCCTCTTATACATCTATCTATGTAACTGTCGTCATAAGCAATAACCGCCTAAGTCGACTTAAGAAAAAAACGAGTTATATATGCTATCATTTTCTCAAACTACTAGTCCATGTGTATGTGAAGCTCCCATCTCGTTAGCTAGGCTATTTAAAAAGTTCTAGAGGAAAATATTTTGGTTTCCCCAGAAGTTTAATATTATAATACAAGTCTTAAAAGCGTTTTTTCTCGAATTCAGGTTTTTCGACTTAGGCGATTATTGGTTATGACCACAGATATGTTTTATGTGCTTTATGTGTTTAACTACATACATAAAGGTGTATGTAGGTACCTGTGTCATTACGAGTGTCCTTTCTTTTGTTGTGTTTGTGTTTTTGCTTAATTACTAATTAATACTAATTTTAAATTCCTTGCAAAAGTTTTTGAATAAAAAATGCAAATAGCGGTGTACTGTCCTTGAGCGACGTGCGCTGGTGCCGGTTATTGTGTTTGTGAACAAAAGATCAATAGTGAGTGAGAAATAATTTTCATATTCAGTACTCAAACCCTTCTGCAAGAGGACAAAGAAACACATAAATACTTTTCGAAAATAAACACCATTTGCTATTGTTTTGTGGGCGTTTCAAGCACAAGAAATGTAAGTAAATATTTATAAAAGAAAACATAAATGGTTGAATAATAAATACATTATAAACTGTTCGTCTTATTAAAAATTTTTTGTTTCAAGAAAATAAAAGATAATAACACAGTTTAAAAAAAAAAGTTTCTGCATATTGAACCAAACCTCTCTGCTATTCGACGCGCTGAATGCGAATCCGAGGTCTGTTAGCTTCCATCACGTCAGGTTCGAGGTCATTTGAAGGACAAGTATGGAAATATTCATTGAATAAAACTGAAAATTCAATACAATTCTTCTGAGTATGACTTTTTATCTTTATTAAATTAAATAAATCAAATTACCTCGAACCTGACGTTATGGAGAACGTCGGATTCGGGTTCAGCGAGTCGAAAACCTCATATATATCTATGAATTTTCAAGTTTATTCAATGAATATCGCTATTTAACCTTTAAATGACCTTGAAAATGACGTGATGGAGGCTAACTGACCACCACTGGCACCTTTTTGTGAGAACGAAAAGCAATGGGTCATTCCAGCGAAGACGACACCGTAAATTGCATTGTATTGTATGCATTTTCTTTCTTATATATATAAGTAATTGTCGAGCATACTTTATATGGAAGAAAATGCACAACACCGTTAGTTAAAAAACAAATTTAAAACCAAGGCGATTTTCTGGCGTCTTGAAATTTGCACCTCAACCAACTTAAATTTCATGGGCTATAAAACTGCATACATAAAATTTGTATAAAAAAATTTTTATGAAAAGTTTAAAAGCTTGTCGAACTTTTATAATTTTTGTACGAAGTTTGAAATAAGGATTTAGATGGATTTAGATATGTATATATCTATATATATATATATATATATACATATATTTCATGATCCAATGATCGGATCTAAACCAGATTAGTATGCAACCACCTCTGAGACACTACCTTTCCGATGCAAAATAAAAATCGGTTGACGTGATCCAAAGTTATGCGGTTACATACATAAAAAAAATAAAATTTCCGCCGAACTGATAACCTCCTCCTTTTTTGGAAGTTGGTTAAAAATTAATTAGGCAGAAGTTAAATAGCCAAAACGCGTCAAAATGTCACGTAACTTAATCAGCTGAACACAAGAGTAGGTACTAGAGACCTGTATTTTGCTTCGCGTTGCGTAACAGATTCGCTTTGACAGCTAAGATGAAATGTTTGAAAATTCGCAAAACATGTCACATAGATCATTTTATCTTCAACGCCAAGTGAAAGCATTTCCAACTCCCACCTTTTTGCGCATTTTTTCATTAAGCTGGTTTAATTTTTATTATTTTTGTCGCTTACACAAAGTGACAAAGTTTTACCTAGCACGGCCTTACTGCTTTTGAAGATGCCGACGATGCGAATTAATAGTTCTGCGATTCAGTTGCGAATCGACGATGCTGTTAGTAATTAAGCGATGATGCGATGTCGAGTAACTATGCTACTTTCGCATCGAGGTAATCGTCAGAAGTGTTAGTTATGCAATAACGATACTGACTTCCCTGCTGTGAAAAGCCAAACCAGTCAGTAAAAATACCAGTTCATTAACTAGTATGTGCTAAAGCGATGACTTACCAGTTCGACAATTTCGAAGAACTTAAGCATTCAGCGACATCTGCATTTGAATTGCCAAAACGAAACATAAAACGCAATTAAGGGCCGGTTGTTCAATGTCTGGTTATCACTATTTGCCGGTTAAGCATCATTATCGACGATTTCGACATCATGCATATAACATGTGATCGATAAAGCAGTCGTTGTAACTAACCGGAGCTTCTACCTCCGATTTTTGCTAATCTGACATTAAACAACCGGCCCTAATTGTTTTTCTTACAAATGTCGGCTTTGGCGTCGCGTGAAGACTACTGGTTCTGGTGTTGATATCGCAGATTCGAATGCGCTTGGAGGTGGTTAAGATTTTTAAAGTTAAATAAATGTAAGTCAATATAATTACTTCAATTTAAATATAAATAATAATTTGAAAATCTAATTTTATTGCAGAAAAAATATGCATGTGGAAAGAAATACTTGTGCCACAAAACCAGAAACTAATAATAATATTTTTTTTTATTAAATTTAAACAAATACAATAAAAACCAAATTTGACAAGGGATGACGGAAATTCGTTCCAAAATACATCATACACCCACCCTGTCGGAAACAACAACAACCAAAAAAAAAAATACAATAAAAACCCTAGATAAAAAAAAAAAAAAAAAATAGTACAATTTTTTCCCTGCGCCAGGGTTTGAACAGCGGGCCTCGGGAGTACTACAGCAGTGCTCTGTAGGTTAGGAATTTCGTCTTTGAAAGGCCACACTTTTTTTTGAAATCGCTTCACTAGTTCTCGTGCAATAAGCGTTTTCATAAAGGTCTAAAAATTACAACTACAACATGAGAGCATAGCCTCCATATCGAAACGTAAGACGTGTTCTACGTCAAAAATGTCCTGTTTGTCCTGAACACCAGGCTGCTGTGGGCACCCAATGTTACGAAAACTGATAGATTAGATAGGATGGTATTTGACATGCGAAATGTTGTATTTGGATAAAGCTACTACGTGGGATATTCGAGATTTACCTGATTTATTAAACTGCTATCGGAAAAGGTAAAATGTACGGAAATGTTTTTATGGTTTTAATTCCAATATCGAAGCCACGAAAATTTGAATGTCGGAGAAAAGTGACATATTTGATGCAATAGCCTTGCAATGAACTCATAGCTTGTTGTTCGCATATTTTTAAGGCGAGCCGTTTGCTTGTTCTCACCTATTAAAAAAACGAATACGATAATCCGTACTCAAGACATGTGACTTATCTGGTTATGTCTACCATTTCTTAAATTAATCATAAATTAATAAATTCTAACAGTCTGACGACATATAAAAAGTTTATGTTCTGCAAATAGCTGCCTGTTTTATATACTTTTTTTTATATTTTTGTTATCATTGCCCTGCATTGCATAACTTTCGATTCCTCCGCCTGCAAAGAAATCAGTTTTATAAGTACTGAATCTACAAAGCACAAGAAACTTCTTTATAACTCTGTCAAAAGTTAATATTTTGTTTTGTAACAGTGTGCTAGGAATTTTTTTCTAGACAATAAATTTGAAAATAATGGGTGTGCCATACCTTATACATATACATATGTACGTATATATACATGCCAGACATTTAATTGAGGCAATCATAAACGCATAAAACTGCAATACAAACAATCATAAAATTGTCGACAACAAAGTATTGAGTTGAGCAGAATTATTATTAAGTTTTTTTTTTTTATTAGCATTTACTTTTTATGTCATCCGATGGTTCAATTTTATGAATTGATGTGTGAACGAGCTGGTAGCAAACGAAAGAGCTCAGATGTGGCAAATCAGCAATGATGATCGTAATCTATTCAGTGGATATCTACATACATACCAGAGATGTTGCGAATATTTGCATTCGCTTTCGCTATGCGAACCATTCGCATCATTTTACTAATTTGAATTCGGCATTCGCATTAGCATCAAATGATACGAATGTTTTGCGAACGAAAATGTTTGCATGGACACCCTAATATTGTTGAAATGGCTCTAAGTCTGCCTAACCAGGATGCGGACAATAACCGGCTTTTAGCTTCCGGCGGTAAACAGTTAAGTAGTATATCAAGCTACATTGATGGGCCTTCAACCAGTACTGCTAAAAGCCTTATAAACAACGTAGAAATAATTTTAGATTCGTCCAGTGAAATCGAAGGCTCGGATGTAGAATCTGGGGACATTAAAAAATGTGAAATGAAAGCTCAATTGAAGGCCTATCTTAAAGAAAAACGAGTTCATCTCTCCTCTCAATTGGTGGAAAACTAAACTAAAGTACGACAAATTGACAGATCTGGTTCCCAAATATTTGAGCTCTCCACCCGCCAGCGTTCCAAGTGAGCAATTGCTCAGTGTAGCCGGCCTTATATACGAGCCCTCTAAGAAATCACCTCTTGGGAGGAAAGGCAGCAAAATTTCTTACATTGTATAGGTTAACACCCATTCAATGTTCTAATAATTTAGAAAACTTGTAAGTCATGAAAACGATGACTTGAGTTGATTTTAGCTTTTTTTAGTGTTATTCCTAGCATTCGCATTCGCATTCTCGAATGTGTAAAATATGACATTCGAAACATCCCTAATACATACATACCTGCTTACGTCATTGCGCTTGACAAATAAGTCGCGTGACGTGAAAAAATGAAAATTATCGAAACTGATAGCTTATTACCTCACGTTTATGTGCGTATGTATAGTATATATGGGGCGATCCGTACCAAAACGGACGGGGTTCACACTTCATGTGTTTGATCACACATATACACATCAAAATTCTCTATAAAAATAAATATTTTAAACTTTTTTTCTTGAAAAATTTTGTGAAAAAAAAAATTGTTTTTGAAAATATCCGATCACAATGGGTATTATGGGGTGCACTCTTGAATAATTTGAGTTATGAATTTTTTTTTACACCGACGTTGGCTAAAATGAGTACATTACGAATTCAATTTCTTTTTTTTTTTGAATTTTTTTGAGTATGCAGTTTTGTAGCATAAATTTTATTAAATTTTAGTATAATAAAGTGCAAGTTTCAAAAATTGCGTTGGTTTTTAATATTTTTTATGCTGACGGCTTTTTGCTCTTTTTTCTTATGGAAGAAAATGAGAAAAACCGTTTTCAAAAACAATAAAAAAAAAAATAACGCCAGTTTTGAGATCGGTTAAAACTTGCACTTTATTATACTAAAATTTAATAAGCTACAAAACTGCTTACTTAGAAAACTTTAAAAAAATTTTTAATTTTGAATGTACTCATCTTAAAAAAAATTCATAACTCAAATTATTGTAGAAGGCACCCCATAATATTATACTCACAAATTGCGCAATGCTCAGAGCTTTCATGGTGATTTTTTTCAATTTATTTTGAGATGACATATTTTCAAAAACTAAATTAAAAAAAAAAATTAGCATGTGAAAATTTTTCAAAAAAAAAAAAACCTTTTAAATATTTCTTTTCATAGAGAATTTTGATGGGTGTATGTGTGATTTTTTTCAAATTTTTTCCTTGCCCCATTCTCGAGATATTTGGAAAACTATTAAATCGATTTGTTTTTGTTTTTGTGCTGTAAAGTTTTTAAATATGTATCGATTAAGCTCAAATTTCATATTTATTTATTATTTATGTTTATGCATCAACCCTAAAAAGTTGAAACATATCAAACACACGAAGTCTGAACCCCGTCCGTTTTGGTATGGAATACCCCATATGCACATATGTACATAGGTGTGTTTTAGGATTCGTTAAACATTCTAACCGTCTACAGATGTTCTTTTATACATACATATATGTACCTACATAGGGTGGCCCTTAAAATATCAACATCTTAATTTTGTAGATGACACCATTTTCTTTTGTTCTACGTACAAAATAAACACATCCACGAAATATTCAAAGTTTTAAATTATTTTATTGGGGTCCCTACGAGAGTTAGGAAAATGTTGAAATTTTTTTCGACAAAATTTTGATTTCGACCAGCTATTACTTAGAAAGTCCGATTAAAACAATTGGTAGCTTCGGTGTTGTTTGGGCCAGTTTAGACATTAGATATCTAAAAAACCTGTACAAAGTAAACTTAAAAATGTGTTTTGAGCTCACCAAGTCCCTACTAACTTTCCCCTAAAGGTGAATATTTTCAAGATAGTTCCTTGTAAATCAGTCTTAAAGGACTTAGACAAAATCAGAAAAATGCTGCACTTATTCCGAGAAAAGCTTACAAAACTGACTTTGGGGGCTTTATATTGCATCATTAATCCACTTGGCGATAACTATGCGACTACTATGTATGAGTAGTTTTGAATAATATGTCGAGTTATCAGATTTAAATTTAAATTTAAACGAGTAACCGAACGTTTTCGATAATATGCTGAGTTAGACTTAATGATATAAATATTTGAACCAAGTTTGTTGAAATTCGATAACGTGGTAACCGAGGTACACCATTGTAGTCATAAAGTGGGCAGTGCCACGCCCAATTCCTAAAATCATATAGCAACAGTGCTGCCGTTGTGCGACTAAAGGGGCAATTTGACCGTTTTTAAGCGCCAATGCCCTTTGATCCGACTTTTTGAAAATTTAGATTTTTTGGCCCTTTTCCAAAATTATGTGCGACTTTTATCCCTAAATTTCAGACCATATTGACATGAATTGATATGAATTGACATGAATTCACCTATATTGTTTATTTTTATCTTAGTTGCTTGAGTTACGAATACAAATTTTCTGATATGGTTACCTTAATATAGAAAGGCCCTAACTCACATAAACAAAAACAAAACGCAAAAACGCCGTAATTGCCCTGCAAACCATTTTTTCAGAGTATTCTGAATCGTAAAGAAATTTTAACGAATTCGGAAAGATCCCATCCGATTTTTTTCTGAATTTTCTAAAATGAAATAAATTACGCACACTTCCATTCTTTTACGAAATTTCGGAAGAAAATCGGTGAAGAAATGAAAATAATGCTGCTATGTGAAGAATTTCTTGCAGACTCTTTTCAGAGTTTTCTTTATTTTTCGTACAGAAATTTCTTTACGAGTTCGTGTCAACCACTTCATATAATTTTCTTTGAAGATTCGGAAAAAAATCCTAAAGATTTCGTTAAGATTTCGGGAACTTTGGTTTGCAGGGTGACTAAAATTTTTTATTGCTTAAAATGATGTGGGCAGTAATAATTCGATGAAATGCATCATAATCAATCAAAATGGGAATTTTGGAGTTTTATTTAGTCACGGCCTTTTAGGAGATAGGGCTTTACTATATTAAGGTAAGGATATGTATTTATATGTGCATCATATCAGTACACTACCCACATATACAAGAAACTTTTTATACAACCGATATCTAACTTATTTTTTTTCTTCATATTCTAATTGCAGATATGTTAGCTAAGGAAAGCAAAAAGCCCGAATGCCGAGATTTTTTAAAGACGAATTCTGGAAGTCTGCTGTAGCACCGTAATTTGAATAAAAAAATTCCAAAGAAAATAAGAAAAGGAAAAATTAGAAAAAATCGTGTTTTTGTTAAAACTTTCTAGTTTGTTGTTTTTGTTATCTATACTTACTTAAATTACTCGTAAAAGTGGCTTTTGTTCGCTGGCAAAATGAGTTTTAGCGGACCAAGCGGACCACGTGACAACGTGCGAAAACTATCATTTCTCGGCTTCAATGCGAAAAAGGTGAGTTATAAAAAAATAAATTATTAAATTCTAGATTTTGTGTTGAATATAGGAGAAACATGAGCGCAACAATATTAACATTATTAGTAATTTAGCAGGTGTTCTAAAGCGTCAATAAATCAATCTAAAATGTCTGGTTAGTCTAAAGGCTGAGGCACGCGTATGCCATAAAAATCGAGCTAAATAAATGCGCTTAGCTATAATTGTCAAAACAATTTTAAATTTTTGTTAAATTATCTAATCTAAAATCAAGCCGCGGCCACGAATTAAGTGGGTATGGAGTCACTTTCCTGCACAAAAATATTTTGCACATAAAAATATAAAAAAAGATACTTGAATCTCTCCCATTTCCTGTACAGATTCAAGAATGGGATGATCTTGAAAGTCTTTTAAGACACAATTTTTGGTTCAAGACTATTGCTACATATTTATTTCAAGGGCCCTAAACGCCCGAATCCTGCTTGCAAATTTACTTTAAATACAAATCAGCGTCTGCGCCTGCTGCAACAAATTTTTTTGTCAACACTTTTTTTTTGCCAAGTCACATGCACTTTATTAAGCTATAAATTTCGGCTCATTGAAAAACCTGTTTCCTGTTTTCAATAACTGTATCAATGGGTTAGCGAGAGTACGCCAATGCAAACATCAGTAATGAGCTTACATTATTTCATTGAAATATGTAGGTGACTGTATCATTCATACAAACGCATTCCCTATAGGAAAAGTTTAGCAAAAGCAGAAAAGTATTTTAAAGTTTTGAAATATATATAGAATATTAGAAAAAGAATACTACAATTAATATAATGCTTTTGGTGTACGCATGTTGTCACATTTTGCGCTTTGGCCAGTTTTCTGGCCTCAGTGTGTCCCCGATGAGAGTGTCGAAATTTTTATACCCGAGCGCACTTGTGCACAAGGGTATATTAATTTTGTTCACATAACGGTTGTTTGTAACAGCCAAAACGAATCGAGATAGATATAGACAAATGTATACATAAATGATCAGGATGAAAAAAGAAATCGATTAAGCCATGTCTGTCTGTCCGTCCGTCTGTCCGTCTGTCCGTCTGTCCGTCTGTCCGTCTGTCCGTGTACACGATAACTCGAGTAAAAATTGAGATATCTCAACGAAATTTGGTATGTAGGTTTCCCTTAATCCAAGGTAGGTTGCTATTGAAAATGGGCGAAATCGGACTGTAACCACGCCCACTTCCCATATAACGGTAATTTCCAGAAATACGAAAACTGCGATATTTTAGTAACTACTGAAGATAAAGCACTCAAAATTGGTATTTACAATAATTTTTTGACAAAAAATAAGAATATTATACATTTTTGGAAAATGGGCGTAGCCACGCCCACTTATGGTTACATGTGTATATCTTGGTAACCGCTGTACCAATTTCTACCAAACTTGGCACAGTTATCGGCCTTGGTACAGCATACAAAATCGCCGAAAATTTTTAAAATCGGACGATAACTACGCCCACATTCCATATAACGGTAATTTAGAGAAATACAAAATCTTCGATAAATCAGTAAATATTGAAGCTAATTTGTTCAAAATTGATGCTTGCAACAATTCTTTACCAAGAAATACGTTTGTGATAAATTTTTGGAAAATGGGCGTGGCACCGCCCACTTATGATCACATATATGTATCTCAGTAACCGTTCTACCAATTTGTACCAAACTCGGTGTGGTTATTGTGCTTGCCACATATAAGCAAACCGTTGAAAATTATTGAAATCGGACTAAAATAACGGCCGCTTCTCATATAACGGTAAATTTCAGAACTGCTTGAAACTTCAAAATCGAAATTTAAGGACTCTAATTTACTCAAAATTGATACGCCCCGGCTTACCATGTAGCCGTAGCTTTCGGTAAGGCGAAAAACATATATTTAATACGTGCGCCGGGTATTTAATGTTCGGCTCTGCCCGAACTTAGACTTTCTTACTTGTTATTAAATAGTTTTATGTGGAATGTGGTCAAACTGATAGGTCTTTAATTCTTCGAGTGTAGAGGGTTGGTATTACACTCACTTTTCAAACATCAGATGCTGATTGCTTATTCTGCTTTAATTGAGGTTATCGGTTTTGGGTGCATGCTAAACTCGGATGGTCCAGAAAAATTAGAGTCGGAATTTTAATACTCCAGCCCCTAGGATTGTTCTGTATCGAAAAAATGATACCCCTGTTTTTTTTTTTCAAAAAACAAATCGAGGTCGCTCAAAGTGCTCAAAATTTTCCATGTATTTTATATGCGGAAAAATAAGTTTTCGTAAAAATGGTTTATAATTCTAGAAAATCTATATTTTTCGATCAGAAAACTTTGTTTCTCTTCAAGATACTTCCAATAACAATACCCAATTGTTTATTTAACCATTTTCTATTACTAATTATTTTTCATAAGACCCCTAAAAACCTAAATGCCGCAATGAGGAACCCCTTAAAATATCGCTAGTAATAACAAGTAAAGAAGTATAAGTTCGGGCGAAACCAAACTCATATACCCGTCGTAGGTATCAAATATCGTCGTTTCAACTTTCTCTAAACTACATTTGCATGATAAGCAGGACGGCTTTTCCCGATTTCAAACTTTTTCGAAAATATGCTGAATTAGAGTTAATGAAAAAATTGAACCAAGTTTGATAGAAATCTACCGACATACACCTTGTAGTCATAAAGTGAGCGCTGCCACGCCCAATTCCTATAAGTCTATAGCAGTCTTATTTATGGTTAGGGGATTGTTATAACTATTAACTTGGAGTAAATTAGCGTCCACATTAAAATATCGGAGTTTTCGGATGTCTGAAATTTACCGTTATACGGGAAGTGGGTGTAATTTTGGTCCGATTTAAATAATTTGCAACGAGTTTCTTCTTTGTACTAAGGTTATTAAGTGCACCGAATTGATGAATCAGTTACCGAGATACACATCTGTGGTAATAAAGGGGCGACGTCACGCCTATTATCCAAAAATGTATAATTATCTAATTTTATGCTAAGTGGTTATTGCAATTATAGATTTTGAGTCAATTAGCCGCAGTAGTTACTGATTTATCGCAGTTTCAGTGTTTCTGTATATTACCGTTATATGGGAGGTGGGCGTGGTTATTGCCCGATTTCAAATATTTCTTAGTCGTACCGAGTTTGAGAAGCATTGATGAAGCGACTACTGGGATACAGCATTTCATCATAAATGGGCGGGGTCACGCCCATTTTCCAAAAATTTCATAATAATACTACTTTTACCAAAATTTGACTTCACATACTAATTTTCAACAATTTGGATCCAATATTTACTGAAATATCGTAGTTTTGCATTTTTCGAAAATACCGTTATATGGTAGGCGTGATTACAGTCCGATTTTGCCCATTTTCAATACCAACCTACCTTGGGTAAAGGAAAACCTACATACCGAATTTCGTTAAGATATCTCAATTGTTGCTCGAGTTACCGTGCACACAGGAGGGCGGACAGAAGGACAGACAGACATAGCTTAATCGACTTCTTTATTCATTCTGAGCATTTATGTATGCTGTTACAAACAACCGTTGTGTGAACAAAGTTATAATACCCTTGTGCACAAGTGCGCTCGGGTATAAAAGATGGTAAAAAAAAAACAATCTAGTACTATTACGGGAAGTCTCCTGAAGAGAAAGAGACTTCTGCGAACGAAAAATATATATTTTTAAGAATTTCCATTTCCACGAAAACCGGTTTTTTCTCGATAAAAAATACATGGAAAAATTTGAGCGCATTGAGCGACCTCGAAATGTTTTTGGATTTCAAAATAAAAAAACAGGCGTATATATTTTCGATATAGAAAAATCCCATTTACTTTTTCATGCGCTTTTTTGGACCACCCTAATGCTACACACATAATCTCTTTGCAACCCAGAAAATAAATTTTGACGAGGTCCTCTAGGGACTCCTCACTGCAATACCCAGTCCCAATACTTTTGCGTATGCAATTCAGCTCGATTAGATTCGCAATGCCACCTTTGTGCTTCAAAAGAGCTTTTAAGCTCTTATTGTACTTGGACAAAAAATTAGAATAATAATTTGCCGATAAAAGTCAATGAACTTTTCTGCAAGAGTAAACCAACAATTCACAGGGTGCTGAAAAAACACGCTTCTTTATATGATAAGTATGTACGTATACGAGAATTGCTAATGAAAATCTTGCGAAATTTTGTAGCGTGAAACTTCCCACAAAGGTGTGCTAAATAAAAATAACAAAAACCAAGTAATTTTTATTTTGTATTTTTTTTGAATCATCTTCTAACCCGAAACGTAAAATATGTATATGTACATATATATATTAGGGTGTGTCACCAAGAAAATGTTTCTGGCTTTCTACCGCAAATATAAAGTTTATTACATTTCGACTTTAAAATATTATGATTTACATTAGTTGGATCGACATGAAAATACCTCCCAGTTGATACAATGATTAAGCATTTTTAAGCCGGCCTTGAAGGTCTAAACTCGTATATCATCTGAAGTGTTTCTTTCGACAAATATTTTTAAAAACAAATGTTATGTATAAGAAAAACTGAAACTGGTGCTGCGACCTAAAAGAAAACTATTGTGCTAACCCCTTATTGTAGTCACTTCAACCTTAGGATATTTAAGAAATTAAGCACATTGGTGGATGCCATGTTCCAAATTTTGGATAGAGAAGGTAATCGCTGCTTAAGGTGTAGCAGTCTACGATTCATGATACACACATAATATGCTCTGAGGTTTCCTCCACCAGCCCACAAAATTTGCATTTGATGATGATGGCATTCTCGAACTCGGACTTCAATTGCGAAGCGCCAAGATCATCCAAGAATGGCTTGAGAACATGCAAGTGACCGCGAAGATCTCCACCGTTCGTGATTATTTCATTGGGCAGTCGTAGGATGCTCCAGCAGGCCTTTACAGTCAGAATAGACAGAGGACATGTGCTTGCTGGATTGCACGACCGTATTGAAAGACCAATATGT